ATGGAAGAAGAGACCGAAGCTTATGAATAGTTCAGCCAAAAGGAAACTCAGAAGATGAACAGACAAAGTACACAGAAGAAAACACGTCGGCAGCAAAAAATAACCCCAAAATACCCTGTATGATCAAAATAACATATAAAAGAAGGCATTCTGTGTATTATATGAGAAAAACGACACAGTGAAAAAGAAATTACTTGGGGGATAAGTAGAAGTTCAAGGAAATTAAAAATACAGCAGTTAAAACAGTTCATAGAAAGGATGAAAGATATAATTTAGGAATGCTAAAAAATAAATGAAAAGAAAAAAAATAAATCCACAGTTTTGAGAACTAATAGGAGTTAAGGACTACTAGTCCTATTAGTAAGTCATATTGGTCCTTCTTAATTCTAAAAAAAGAATACAGCGAGCAAATGATCAAAAGAAGATGAGTGTGCTTCCCAAAACTGGACATGAATTTCCAGACTGAATAATAGTCCAGCACAGTGAGTGAAAGATTAACACAGGACACATTATGACTAGATTTCAGAGTTCAAGATTAAGAAGAAATAAAAGCAATTTTCAACTTCTAGAGAACATACAAAGATTTTAGAAAAAAGAGTGACACCCAAGAATCAACATTCTGAAAACAGAAGCCAGTAAAGAAATGCCTTCAAAATTCTAAAGAAAAAATTTGTTGTGAGGTAAGCAGCTAGTTCGGGGCCACTCTCCCCCCATCACCAAGGTGTTCCCTCCTGCCCACCTGTGCTGTTCTCTTGTCATCACCTGGAACCTGAGAGGGGGCGGGACTGCATTGTTGTGTAACCACACCCTTCACAAGCCCCCAAAAGGTCCATGATAGGGAGGGGCTTGCTCTCTTGCGTTTCATTGCTCTGGCATTCCAACTCTTGGCCTCCCCAGTACCTGCTATCTCTCTGGCTTCCCATGGACAGACTCTGACACAGGTAGCCCCTGAGCACGGCCCCTGTGTATCTGTATTCCTCACCCCCTGTTCGAGGCTTGGTCAGGACAGTAAGGACAGCAATGCTAGGATGCTTTGTATTTCTAATTTGTGTACTTTTGAGAGTTCCAGGAGAGGTGAGACCTAGCAGTAGTGGGCAGAGAAGCCAGGGAAAGGCGAATGTCTGAAGCTTTGTCAGTGTGTCCAGGTTGTCTGTTCTATGTCTTAACTTATATTGCTGGGGAAGCTGGGGCATATGGACGGATTCCAGGGTAATTTGTTCCTCTTGAGGGTTCCATTGACTGGATTATTATACAGATTTGTGATTTGCTATTTTCAGTAGGCCCTGTTATCACCAAAGACTCCTTAATAAACCCTAGACTTGTCTGGTATGATCTTGCTCACACCCCACAACAAAATATTTCAACTTGGATTCTATAAACCTAAACTGGGATGGGTGCTGTAGTGCAGCAAATGAAACCATCCCTTTGGATGCCCACATCTCATCTGATCCAACTTTCTGCTCGTGCACATCCTGGAAGGTAGCAGGTGATAGCTCAAGTGCTGGCATCCACATGGAAAACTGGATGCAGTTTTAGGTTCCTAGCTTTGGATTAATACATCCTGGGACTACCATGAACATTCGGGGAGTGAACAGGTGCAAGGAAGATGCCCCAACTCCCTCTGCATCTCTGTCATGCTGTCTTTCAAATAAACAAACAAGCAAACAAAAAAAAATCATACATTCCTTTTCTTGAGAACATAATCAGAGAACCTAATCATCAAATGGAAATATAAGAAAAAAAAAAAAAAAGACAAGAATCCAAGAAGCAAGGGTTCCTCAATAACTACAAAGGCACAGGCCGTTCTCCGACTGGTGGTCTAAGCAACTGCCAAGATGGATGGGAAGTCCAGACTCTTGAAAGGCAAGAGGTTTGTGCTCCAGAAGAGAACAATGAAAATCAGTTTATCCAATGTTTCTGACCATGTTTCAATGTGCTGTGTACTCTGAGCAAAGTTACTGAAAGGTATCTAGAAAAACCAAGCAAAAAATAATATGGGGGCAATTATCAACAGAAAAAAATGTCAACGTTAGTACAATAAAGGAAATTAAACAATGCACTACATGCTAGTTGGAAATATTTACATAGTATTAAAAATATAGACATTTGGATGTTAATTTATAATTCCATTGGGAGCATGAAGAAGAGAGATGGGAAGTATGTATTGGAGGTGGATATAGAAGAGTGGAATGTTAATTTTCCAGAACAGGAAGTCAACAGATATTTAAAACTGATTAAAAATACGCATGGGGCCCAGTGCGATGGCGCAGTGGTTAAGGTCCTCCCGGGATCCCATATGGGCACTGGTTCTAATCCCAGCAGCCCTGCTTCCCATCCAGCTCCCTGCCTGTGGCCCGGGAAAGCAGTCGAGGATGGCCCAAAGCCTTGGGACCCTGCACCCGCGTGGGAGACCCGGAGGAGGCTGCTGGCTTTGGATTGGCTCAGCTCCAGCCGTTGCGGCCGCCTGGGAAGTGAATCATCGGACGGAAGATCTTCCTCTCTGTCTCTCCTCTCTGTATATCCGCCTTTCAAATAAAAATAAAATAAATCTTTAAAAAAAAATAGCCATGAAGAATTAGATACTGACATATACACCTAAAGACAGAGTGGAAATTCCTGGCTGTCCAAGGCAGCCAGTGGAAAGCAGCAGCCATTGCTCTGTGCTACTGCATGGCTGTGGGCCTCACAAGGTGACTAAGTGAGCCCCTGACAGCCACTGTGGCAGGTGCCCCTCCATGCACATCAAGGTCCTGCAGAACCTGATCAGGAGGTTTTGCCCCATACAAGTCCCTGCCCTGAAGCTGCTCAAGATCTCCTAGGACAAAAAGGTCCTTGGATTCCTGAAGAAAAGAATGGGGTCCTGGCACTGGGATGCAGTGAGTTAAGTCACTGCCATATGAACACCGGCTCACTGGTTCGAATGCCAGCTGATCTATTTCCAATTAAGCTCCCTGCAATGTGTTGGGGAAAGCAGCAGAACATGACTCAAGTACTTGGTTCCATGCCAGCCAGCTAGGAGACTCAGATGGAGTTCTAAGCTCCTGGCTTTTGTCTGATCTAGATACAGATGTTTGGAGGAGTAAACCAGTAGACAGAAAATCTCTTTCTCCCTGTCTCTCCCTCTCTCCAACTCTACCTTTCAGATAAATAACTGAAGGAAGAAGAAGGAGAAGAGGAGGAGAAGGGTGGGAACCCTGGGGGAGAGGAAGCAGGAAGCGCTGAGCGGGACACTGTGAAGAAAGGAGCCCTCCAGGTCTGTGGCTCTCCCCTTGTAAAACACTCCCTGTATGTCCAGCTCCAAAAATCACGAAAAATGCTGAATACTGCTACCTGGGTCAGGGAAATACTGTGCCATATCCTTGAATGAAGTACTATTTGAATTTCTTGTACATGAACACACACACATAAACATGCACACACACACCCCTAAAATTAAAAACTGACACATAAAGCCATATAGGAAAACAATTATTAAGAAGATTTAATCAAACAATGTATGTCTATTGATACATTGAGTACTAAGAAGTTCCCCAAGATTTGCTTCTGGTCTCATTAATGAAACAATTAATAAATATCTAATATTCACTAACAATTCTTTAATAAAAACATTTTCTATAAAGTCTTGTAGAAGATATAAACATTAAACATAATCCCTAAAACAGATCTTCTTAACATCTGTGACAGCTTACATTTACTTGACACTAAATGGACATAAGGAACTGTTTTTCCTACATCATCTCAAGTCTATGAGACAGATACCATTATTGTCTAGCTTAGGAATGAGAAATGTGACTCATAAAAGGAAGTAAGTTGACCAGGTTCACAGAACTTGTGAAAATATGGAGGTGCAGTTTGAACCCAAACCGCAGGCTTCAGGATCCGTGTGATTCTCCACGGTATCAAATTGCTTTACAACGCAGTTAAGGAGAAACAGTGATTAAGACACACCTGATTATAAAACGACAAAGACACGCGCACATGCCTGCTTCGGGGAAATCCGGGCTCTGCTGACCTCAGAGGCCCATGGGCACTTGACCGCTGATGGCCAAGGAAGCACTTACTTGGCCAGGCTGGGGGATGGGCAGCATTCCTCAAGAATGAGTCAAGATGGAGAAGTGGTAAGCCCTAGCCGGTCAGGGATTGGCGAGGAAGGTGATTTGATCAGGACATGGGAAGCTGAGTAATCAGAAAATGAGACCAGGAAAAGCAAGGCAGGAAATGTCTAATATCAACGTAGAAAAGGTCTTGAAAAGTAGGCTAAGCAGCTTTATCTCGTGGAAAATAATCACCGAGCACATGAGAGTTTAATCCAGACACACAGTGAGTTGCTAGAACAAATAAGGGCCTCTTGTGACAGTCTGTCTAGAGGTAGTTGGTCGAGCTCGCCAACCAGACTTGTGTGAATGGAGGGAGGTGGGGGAGACAGGACCGGATCCTGGACAGAAAGGCACATCCCATCCCTGCCCCTTCCTTCCAGGACTTATAAAAACCACATTTGCGTTTTGTCATCTCTACGAAGAAGAATTATTTTCAAGCTAGAAAGAACAGAATAAATCTAGTTAAGCTTTTTTTTTTACTCTGCTTACAAGTTGAAATATTTACTTCTTAAAAGTCTTGGTGTCCAGCACAGTAGCCTAGCATCTAAAGTCCTCGCCGTGCATGTGCTGGGATCCCATATAGGCACTGGTTCTAATTCAGGCGGCCCTGCGTCCCATGCAGCTCCCTGCTTGTGGCTTGGGAAAACAGTCAAGGACAGCCCAAAGCCTTGGGACCCTGTACTGGTGTGGGAGACCCAGAAGAGGCTCCTGGCTCCTGGCTTCAGATCAGTGAAGCTCTGGCCGTGTGGCCCATTTGGAGAGTGAATCAACAATAGAAGATCTTTCTCTCTGTGTTTCCTCCTCTCTGTATATATGCCTTTCCAATAAAAAAATAAACCTTCAAAAAAAAAAGTAAGTTTCTAGGCTTAAACAAGTTAAAACCAAGAATAATCAAATGCTTACCTGTTATGATTGTGAAACAGCTGATAGGATTTCTTCTTAAAACACAAGTTTCCTAAAGAAAATAGTAATATATTCTCAGCATGAGAAATAAACAGAAAAGTGAAGGAAAAAAAATCAGTGAACTTACTCCCACATCCTTAGTTAACACTTTGGTTTATTATTTTCCAACCATTTCTACATCTGATTTTACTTCACTTCACTGCTACAGCATAGTTAAAATTTATGTCATATTGCAGGGTAATATTTTAATAAAACATTTCATGTTATAATTTTCATATGCATGACTTCATAATTGTACATTCAGTATGTAAGTATATGTAATAGATGATTTTAAAAACATTCTTCTAAATTTGGACATATAAGGATATTCTAAATTGTTTTTACATCAGTAGCTTCTTGCTTCAAATTTTAGAGAAGCAACAAAATGATTATTTATAATCATGTGGTTGTTTTTAGTTTTAAAAAAACAACAACTAAAAATGGTAACTGGTGTGCTATGTGGGTGTGGTCTGTTCACACAAGGACTCAGCTTGTGGCCTGGTCCCCAGGGTAACATGTTGAAAGTGGATGTGAATTTTTAGAGGTCATTGGGAGGTCGGGGGCTCCATCTCCATGAAGAGGCCACTGACATCCCCGTGGGGGCTAGTGACCACAGAGCAGGTTGTTATTAGCCAAGGAGACAACTTTCCATTCTCCAGACCATGAGCCCAAGTCTCTCCTTTGCAGATGAACGAACCTCAGGCATTTTGTTACAATAACAGAAAATGAACTAAAACAGATGAGTAATAGTCAGAATGTAGAAAACACTAAAGGAAACACTACAATTTGATTAGCCAGCACCAGAACCAAACTATGACTATAGTCATGGCTATATTTGCATGTACTTTTTTGGTTGCATTTAAATGTATGGATTTACATTTTAGTTGACTGATAAAATGAAATAGTACATTCTGAAGTATAGGAAGAATGTTTAAGTTCCAGTTATTATTTTTTAAATTATGAACCAATGGAAACTACATTATAAAGCTACATCTTGAACCAGTTAGTACCCATAATACCCTCAGCCAAAATTCTGGTGTTTCAAGCGAGCCAGCACCTTTTCAAAGACAGGACCTGGAGGGGGTGCTTTCTATGCAAAGAGTGAGCAGTACAACGAGCTCAGTGCAGCCTGCAGACGGATGACATGGCTTGAGTTTTGCACTCAACAGTCAGTTCTTGGAATCCATTCCAAGGATGCTAACACCCACCCCACAGGGCAGGGCTGAGGATTAAGGAGGATTTCCGTTACAGTGTTTTGGACAGCTCCACCAAAGCTTGTGATGAAATCTAATCTCCACTGTGTGACACAAGGAGGTGGGATGCTTAGCTCACGAGGACTCTGCCCTCTGCACAGAGGGATCCACTTGTGGGTTAAGGGACTATCCGCAGCGCACATGTATAATGAGGGTCAGTTCTGTTTTGTGGTTGCCCTCTTTGGCATTCTGATGCCCTCTGCCACCTCAGGACCCTGCAGAGCACTCGGTGGGCAAAATCAAGAGCTCCAAAATCAAGAGCTGACTAAAGCTTTCTTTAGAAATCATCACTCTGTGCTACTCAGTTCTATCAACGCAAGCACTGATTTTGGGATATCAAAATTTACAGGTGCTTAGCTGGACCCTGGTTAAGGCGCTCTATTCCACACAGGAGTGCCTGGCCTCAACTTCTGACTCCAGCAGACCTGGGAAGTAGTGTGATGGCTTAAGAGGTTGGGTTCTGTTACCCCCAGGGACCTGGATTGAGTTCAGCTCTAACACAGTCCAGGCTGTGTGAGGAGAGATGAAAAATTCTTACTTTCTATCTGCCTAAAAAAAAAAAAAAAGTCCCTTATATAAAATGGCATAACATTTGCATATAACCTACCCTTATCCTCTTGCATACTCTTAATTATTTCTCTCAATTACTTCCAGTACCCAATGCAACAACAACAAAATTTAAAAAAAACATTTATATTTTAAAGTGAGAGTTATAGTGAAAAAGAGGAAGGACAGAGATCTTCTAACTATTGGTTCACTCCCCAAATGGCCTGGAGAGCTGGAAGTAGGCCTGTCTGAAGCCAGGGGCCAGGAGCTGCTTCTCCCAGGTCTCCTGCCCTGCGTGCAGGAGCCCAAGCACTCGGATCTCCTGCTGCTTTCCCAGGTGCGTTAGCAGGGAGATGAACTGGAAGTGAAGCATCTGGGTTTTGAAGTGGAACCCATGTGAAATGCAGGTGCTGCAGGTGGCAGCTTTACCCACTGTGGAGTGCCAGGGTGCCAGCCATATTAATTGGATTTCTATTACTGTAAATTATTTTTGTGTTCTCTAGATAGAACTGCATATACATGGGATAATATAGTATGTAACTTATATGTTTCTCTTCCTTGGGTGAACATGTTTTTGGACCATTACCTTGCTCCTTTTTTTTAAGATTTATTTATTTTTATTGCAAAGTCAGATATAAAGAGAGGAGGAAAGACAGAGAGGAAGATCTTCCATCCAATGATTCACTCCCCAAGTGACTACAATTGCCGCTGCTGTGCTGATCTGAAGCCAGGAGCCAGAAACCTCCTCCAGGTCTCCCACATAGGTGCAGAAACCCAAGGCTTTGGGCCATCCTCGACTGCTTTCCCAGGCCACAGGCAGGGAGCTGGATGGGAAGTGGAGCTTCCAGGATTAGAACCTGTGCCTATATGAGATCGTGGCGCATTCAAGGTGAGGATGCATAGCCCACCACGCCGGGCCCTACCATGCTCCTTTTAACCCATCTGTTCATTCAACTTGTAGCCACAATGGACATTTACATGCAAGTCTTGCACACACTTAGTTGTTTTATTTTCCCTGGGTCCCTGGTAGTACTGGGTCCCCTCACACGTATCTGTTACTCTTTATAGGAAGATGACAAATTGTTTTCCACACAAGCCCTGGCATAACCCCAGCAGAATGGAGTTAAGTGCAAAGAGAGGCCAAGTGCTTCGGAAACACGGGCGGGCAGAGGAAAAGTCTGAATGTAAGTCTGAGGTGGGGCCTCCAGGGAAGACACACAGTGATTGTTGGAGGCAAATTACCTTCCTCATAGCACTGCCATTTGCCTCTGTGAGCAAGAACAATGTACTCCAGGGAAATGCTCACCATTTAGTTAATGGCTTTTAGTTGACAACTAAAAGTGCTAGGAAAATATCCACTAATGAGTTCTAAGAAATACCAAGGAAACAGTGAACTTTACTTAAGCGTCAAAAGATAAAAGGCGACACACACAAGTGGAAGAGCAGAATTTTAAGCCACCCACATTTGGGTCCAACTTGGCTTGGCATCTCTATTCTCTGGTGCATTTTCAACCTGTTGCTGAACTTGGTTTTGTCTTGTGAGAATGGATGCAGTAACTAACCCATCAAGTCCCAGACTTCCAATTTGGCCGGTACTACGCCAAAACTGACACAGGTGTAACTACACCAAAACCAACACAGGTGTAACATTGCCCTAAGTGGCAAATCTGCACCGTTTATGTTTTCACAGGTCTTCTCTATGTAGGATGATGGGACCTGGCAGGTGAAGCCAGGTGAGGTTGCAACCTGAGAGTGCTACATAGCGTTGCATCCATTGGACCGCTGAAACAGAATGTTACATTCACCAACTGACAGTCACAACAAAGAGTTATTATAAATGAGAGGCAAGGCAACTGACCAGCCAACGTGCCAGGACGAGAGTGTGGCCCCGAACAGCACATTCACAGGGGTTTTGTAAGGGCAGTTTAAAACAGTTTAAAACAGCTTGAAAAGGAGCAATTTACAATAGCCTGTAAGGTGAGGGAGAAAATGCCACTCCTGCCAGTAATAAAGGTAACAGTGGAGCCGCCTGGGAGATGCCCAGACTTGGATTCATGAGAATTGGTACCCATTGATGCTAAAAGTCACACAGACCCTTTGCCCTACAAGCTCACAGTTTCCTAGTAGCAATGAGCCGTATTTACTCCACGTTGTTTTCAATTCTATGATCCTTGAGTGTGAGTTTCTGATTTCTTCTCTCCTCACCCTGTACAGCTCCAGGGAGCCCAGGCTGACGCTGCTTCCTCACTTGCATATCGTAAATCAAGGCAAACAACGGCAGAAGGGGCGTCGGCGAAGGTAGGGAAAGTGTCCAATGCTTAGACACTTCTGAATCTTTGCAAATGACCTAATCTTTACTAAAGAAAAAAATTCCACTGGGTGGGGGAGAGAACAAGCCGATGATCTCAGCGCTGTTAGCAACTCCTTTTAAAATGCAGTATGTTTTTTAAAGCAGCTTTTTCAGATCCCATGTCCTGGCACATTCTTGGTATGGATTTTGTGAGAAGCGGCCATGTCCTGAGGCTTATGGCTGTGGCTCTTTGCTGAGCACTTGCTTTGGGCCAAGCCACAGGCCAAAGCTTCGCATGCCTGGTCTCGCTTATTCTTCACCACAACCCAGAGGAAGGCAAAACTATCACAATTGCTTTCTAAGTGAGCAGTTTGATTCTGGGCCACCCAGAAAGCAAGGCAGCAGCAGGGTCCGCCTGAACCTCAAGCCACCTCCCACACGCAGCTCCACTCACAGGTCAACACGCTTTCCTGTTCCCACCGCTGCCTGTGCTTGGGCAGCAGACATGCAATGTGACCTTAGAAAACGAGGGCTTCACAAAGAAACATTTGCTCACGTGAGTCACAGGGCAGCCGGCTAGACAGGTCAGGGTGCCCTTCTGGCAGGTGAAAATGGCAACTTTAGGTCCCCTTTAATACATATCGCTGAACCTGCGCCCCTAGTTAAAGCAATCACAAAAACAAAAATTTACATCCGCTGTCACACTCTTGGATGAGCATATTCTCAGAAAATACAATTCCTTTATCAGATGGAGCAGTCTGCTCCTCTGTTAACATTTTACAAAATGCATTTCAGTGATTCTGCAAAGCTGAATTTTCTGTATTTTGCAGCTACAGGACAGAAAATTCTCAAAAGAATATTTTTATTTTTTCCCCTGGCATTTTAGGTGGGGAATGGTTCCTTGGGCGAGGAGCTGACAGAGCACCCAGTCGTGTTCAGGATTAACAGAACAGCGACTCCTGAGCCACCTGCAGAGGTCTGCCCGACCCCTCAACACCACTGCCTTGTAGGACAGTACCATCTGGCAAGTTCTCTTTGGCTTCCGGGAGGGTGTGTGTCCTCCCCCGCCCCTCTTCTTTGGCCGATACTCTTCCCCTCTTGCGTTCCCCTCTCTGGCGGTTCCAACCCTCGGGCCTCTAGGTTTCCTGGCTTCAGGAGGGTCTGCATCTCCACCCCAGCTCAGTCTGGCCTGCTCTTCCATTCCACACTGTCCATCTTCACAAGCCCTCCCCAGCAAAGCATTCTGGATCCAGCACACACTAAGCCAAGCCTGTTACTCCTTTCCCACCTGAAGGAACTGCTGACTTCCGGGAGTGGTCACTTGTTTGAAATGGGGACGGGCAGGGGAGCTTATCTCACAGTCTCCAAATTTCTTAGTCACCCTCAACATTCTCAGCATTCTTTATCAATCCCCAAGTCCTGAGGTTCTTTTACATTTCATTGATCAGAGAAGCAATGAAAGCCCAGGTCTACAGCAGTTAGATCAAGGGCTTTTTGTCAAAGTAGCAGAATTATTAAAATGAACTATGGGCTTATTTCCTTAGGACAAATACATTTTAAAACTAAAACCAAAGACATTCCCCACTCTCTCACCTTAACCTCCTGGACCATGCTATGGTTAGCTAAGCGGGGGCCCGGGCTCACTGTCGGCATGGGGTATAAATGTCTGAATTAGCCCAGGTTTGGCTGCTCACACGCCACAGTCCTCCTCCTCCTCCACTGCCTACTTGTGGCAGCGAATGCAGAGGCCGGGGTCACAGGCCCTCTCCAATCCCTTTCCAGCCTGTCTCAGCCTCTCCCATGGCTCCAGTTCAGCAGCCCTTCCACTCCCTGTGCTCCTGTTTTTGGAATCACCCGAGCTGCTCCTGAGCCCCACACCTTGGCCTACACCATTCTTAATCGCTTTCCATGCTCCCTGCCCCACTGCATTGGTCTTAGCACAATCACTGGGCCATCAGCCTCCGCCAGCCTAGCTGTGCTGTTCTTGCTCTCCTTTCTGCACCCCTGCTCAATTCCAGCTGTGACATCAAAGCCTGTACCGCACAAAACCATCCTGCTAGATGATGCCTGACACTGTCCAATTCTCTTTCTGAATACCAAGCATGCCCTTGTTTCTGCGACACTGTGGGTTAGTCACTGTGTTACCTAGGTGGTTAGCAATCAACCTGTGCGTGTGAGACAGGCCCAAGATGAGCAACGCACCCCTGGAAAGGAAGGAGCAGCTGGGACACACACTTTGGAAGCCACCCCCTGTTGTATGCTACAAAGTCTTGTTGCTATCCCAACAACTTCATAGGTGGTCCCCTTCCACCCTCCCCCCCCCAAGTCATCAGAGGGTTGCCCCAAATCAAGCCGGTTCCCCAGTCTGACAACATCAGGCTTTAAAACCTTGGGAGGAATTTCACCTATTTCACACCTAACAAACCCTTAGTCCAGGAGAGGAATGGGGAGGGCAAGGGCAAACAGCCAGGAGATACGGAAGGAATGGACCCTGTATCCTTATAAACCCCGGGCGGAACTGTAACCTAGACAGTCACAGATTCTTCCTGGAGAGGGACCCACCCATTCTGGTGAATGCCACACCACCCCACCCCAAACCTCGCTGCCTTGTTTACCACTCTGCTGCTTCCCAGTCTCAACTCTTTCATGCTCAAAGACAACGATAACGGAAGAGTCCATGCATCTCTGGTGATAACTGCACAGTTCCTGGGACAAGGCTGAGAAAGTGGCTTTGCCAAAATCACAGACCCACGCTCTCTTTGTGCTTTTTATGACCATTACTTAAGTGTATTCTTTTGCCCCTGGGAGCCCCGCTGCGCCTCCTGCAGTCCCAAATCCTTCCTGATCAATAAGGAACTGTGACCTTGGAGGAAGCATGTGGGGCTTTGAGTGGATGAAGACTCGAAAATGCCTCTCAGAAGAGCTCTGGGCTCCTGAATGACTTCCCAATTTCCTGTCCCTCACAAGGCAGAAATCTTTGCTGATGACAACACAGGAATGCAGTGTGCTGGAGCAGGAGTTGGATATTGCCCTGGACCCTTAGGGTGTCTGTGAGCTGCGGTTAACAAGTCCCTCTGTTTCCCCACAATGAAATGTCAAGTTGTGTTAGTGAAATGGTGTGAGCAGGAAGTGTCTGGAATAAACCCACTGAGGCTGTTCCACAGAACAAGCTTCCCAAGGGACACGTGCCAGATTTGAGTTTTGTGAATACTTAGATGTGAGTACTTAGATGTTGTGGTAGATCCCGTTCAAACTGCACACACACACACACACACACACACACACACACACACACACACGCAATGGCTTTCTCTGTCTCTCCCCAACTCCTTCCACCCTCAGAATGCTGTAATTATTTGGGTGACTGTTATTGTATTACGTATGTGATCACCCAGTTGTTTCTCATAAGTTTTATTTGAAAAAAGAAGAACACTAGCCATGAAGTGTTTTGGAAAGTGAATGCCTCGAGCGGTTAGCGAAGCCAAGCTGGGGGACAGAGATAATTTTTGTCCCCCACGCTTTGCTGAGGTCATTGTTTTTTTCCGACAGATTCTTTAACACTGAGCCAGGCTTTGGTGTTGAGCCTTTCCTAATGCTCCAGCACTGGCCTTGACCTTCAGCTCTTGCTGATGACACCCCCTGCGCTTCATTGCCATCCTCTGGGCCCAAGCTAAGACCACCTGTCTACAATCCAGGCGCAGAAGGAGTGCTGGCTATGGTCACAGGAGGCTCATTTAAAGCTGTGCTGGCCCTGGCGGCTGTATCTTCCATCAAATACAGGGGGGAGGGCATATAAATATTAAATATGAGAGTCACAACAGGTGTCTGCCTCCCTGACCTCCAGACTCCAGAATGTTCTAAGCCTGTCAGGCTTTACTGAACGCTCACACACTTCCTTTTCTGTCACCTGTGTGCCACTACTTCCTGCCTGGGGCAGCCAGCAGAGAGTAATAAAACATTGTTCAAACTTTCCCTGGATCCATCCAAGACCAACCAATTAAGGGACATCAGAACACATTCAGAGACTCAGAACCACCCAGACAGGCTGGTAGAAAGCTCCCCTTCCTTGGTCCAGGGATTCCAAGCAAGGGGCTGCCCATAGGCAGGCAGAAGTTCCGCGGCGGGCCTCAGCTAGCCAGACCCAGACAGCGAAAGCGAGCCCACCCTGTGGGCTGTTCTCCGCGCCACAGGGGTAGCGAGGCTCGCCATGCGGTGGATCTGTGCGTGTGTAGCGGGCACCCTCTCATCAGCCCAGCCCCATCTCCAGACCTGAGGTGCAACTCTGCATCTGGACATGTCACTAGACCCTCTCACTATGGCCAACCACGCAAACCGTGCACTACTTGGCTTTCGCTGTGGCTCACCAGGGCAGCCACTCTCCCCTCCCAGCTTCTCCCCATCCCTCCCAACTATCTCTACCCCCGAACCCAACCCAAGCCCTGTTCCTCTCTGCGCGCGGCCAGACTAGAACGTGGAACTCAGGGGGTGTTGTTGGCAATGGGCTGAAGATCTGGGCGAGCTCCACCCGTGCCAAGCTGCTGCTCTCTGAACCTGCTATCTCTCAGGTTGCTTTCCAGGGAGTGAAACTTGCCCGCGCCGCACGTCGCCTTTCAGCCGCGCCGGGGGCGTCCTCGGGGTCAACCTGCACCTGGCCACAACGTCGGGCAGCAAAGCCCACGCCACCCCCAGCCTTTCCTGGATCCACAAAGCATATTTTTACATTTACCGGCAGCGCCGCTAGGGAAGTGTCAAGCGTCGGGCAGACCCTCCCTTCCGGTCCGGGGCGGCAGAGGTGCTGACTCGCAAGGCTCCACCCATCCGTCCCGCCTCGCTCGGTGACGCAGAGCCTGGACCCGCCCAGGCGCACCAACAACAGCAGTCGCGGAACTGCCGGCTGCGGTCCTGGCCAGGCTGTCCCCTGCGCACCATGAGCTCCGCACGACCTAGCTCCTCAGCGGTGCTGCACGTCCTCGGACGGCTGTCCCTGCTCCTGCCCCTGCTGTTGTGGCCTGTCCCGGCGGCCGTGCGGGGTGAGTGGGGGCCTGAGCCCGGCCGGGCGAGTCCTTGCGCAAAGGACCTTGAGCCCGGCGCCTTCTTCCTCCACCTGTGAAGCTCAGCACTTTTCTGGATACCGGACCCCAGCTGCTGACAGGGACATGGAGTCCTGTGGGGCCGGGGGGGCGGGGCTGTGGCTGGCAGGACTTAAGGGGTGGGTGTGGAGCGGCAGGACAGAGCTGTTCCAGAGCTGTCAAACCTTGGGACACTGCAGAAAGGACTCAAAAACACCCGGCGACTTCTCAACCTGCAGCTATTCTATCAACCCAAAGGCCAACCACCTGCCCAACCCTCCCGCCCCGCCCCCCTCCGGCCGGTTGATTTAATGCACCTGCTGACCACCTCGGTGGGGATGCAGGAGGAATTCTTAACAACTTTTTAAAAATTATTCTTTAAGTTGGGAGGGGAGTGTTTTGCTCTGAGTTTGTTATTGTCTTGAGTTGACAAGAAACCGGGCCTAGACAGTTCATGGCCTGTCAGTTCCGCCCTGGTTGGCCCTGCATCCCTGGGAAGCCAACGTTGCCGTGAATTGAATGCAGTGTGCTTGTCCCTCCCCAGGAGACTGTGGCCTCCCCCCGGATTTACCTAATGCCACGCCAGATCTGAGAGGAGTCTCAACTTTTGCTCCCGGAGACACGGTAACATACAAATGTGACACCAACTTTGTGAAAATCCCAGGCTTGTCTGACACGGCCACCTGTCAGGACACCTACCAATGGTCGGAAATGCAGCCATTCTGTAATCGTAAGTTCCTCCTGGCTCTTTAGCAAAGTTATGGGAAAGGAATGCATGTTGGTCAGACTAATTTTATACCTCTTCCAAGTGACTGGTAATTGATAGTTTTCTAGTCTTATTAAACCCTGGGGAACAGCCTGCTGGCAGGTCACAATCCAGCTAATTGAAGGCAGCAGTTTTTCTCCCTAACACTGCACTTGCAGAGCAGATGGTCAGACAGATAAACAGCCAGGACTGTTTAGGGAGTTACTTGCTTACGGATATACTTTGTCAGTTACCTGGAGACACATCATATAGGTTAGGTTTTCTTAAATTTCATTGAAGTGCGACGCTGTGATGGGATTTTTACAAGCTGTGTGTATTGACTTCAGAATCTGTTATGTGCATAGCTTTAGATCAGCTCTGAGGTGTAGTGACGCGTGTCTCCGAGCAGAATTCTGAGAAATACATCTTTGGCCACTGTGGTCACTGTGTAAACATCAGAGGGTGTCCCTAGATGGTGTCGCCTGTCGCGTGCTGAGGCTGAAGGCCGTGGTGGATGGCTGATTCTCTGCACATGTCCAGCTTGTGCTGTGCTGTTTAGCACAGTGGGATCTGTGCTAAACCTAGAAGCGTGGACACAGTTCAGTAGCAGCGCAATATGAAAGATTCGAAGTGTTCACCAGTGCAGGTGCTTACCCCAAGCTAAGCTTCCGGGAGGAAGGTGGCGCTGGGGGAGACGGCATGGGGGTTCAGGGGTGCGTGTGGAGCTCTGGGACTCAGGGTGAGTCTGCTCAACTCCTGCTGCAGGACTGACACATTGTGTTGCATCAGAAAGTAGCTGTATAATGTGTACTTCACAAACCTCTTAGCTACGTGACCTCTTGTTAGAGCACTTAGCTTAAAGTCAAAACTCAGGGTATAGCTGCCCCCAAATGCTTTCTTTAGATCCTTATTCTGTTATCTTTTTTCCCCATGAAAGCTCTTTAATGTATTTTTTGCTTTTTTAATTATTGGGTTTTTTTAAAGATTTATTTTTATTATTTTTTATTGGAAAGGCGGATATACAGAGAGGAGAGACAGAGAGGAAGATCTTCCATCCAATGATTCACTCCCCAAGTGAGCACAACAGCCAATGCTATGCCGATCCGAAGCCAGGAGCCTCTTCCGGGTCTCCCACATGGGTGCAGGGTCCCAAAGCTTTGGGCTGTCCTCAACTGCTTTCCCGGGCCACAGGCAGGGAGCTGGAAGGGAAGCGGGGCTGCCGGGATAGAACTGGCGCCCATATGGGATCCTGGGCGTGCAAGGCGAGGACCTTAACCACTGCGCCATCGTGCCGGGCCATAATTATTGTTAAAAATGAGGGCACACATGCATACATTAACCTGGGCCTGCATGGGATTGGCACTGGTCTCACTGGAAGATCTTTTGGGGGCTAGTGTCATTCATGGAGCTGTCCCCTCTGTTGGTGAGGGCGCCTCCTGCTGTTGGACAGCTGAATATACTTTAAAAAAAACTACCAAGAGCCAGGAACACAGCCATTTACTGTTATGGAGGATGGCTTGTGTGATGCTGTCAGATCTGACTGCACACCATCACAGACAGGTGTGAGTCATGGGTCACACTCTAGCCTCACAATGGCCATGATGTCACTAGGGCAGAGGAATTGTTCACATCTGTTATGACCCTGGAAGTCCTGCCCTGGGCACAGTCAAGCGCTGGCCATCGTGGGTTTGACAGCCTGTATATAAGGATAGATACAGATAGGGATTAATCCCAGTCATTGGACAGTGTGGCTCAATTGGGAGCTGCAGGATCCGTAGCGAGTGTCACAGATATGACTGTGAAATAAGATTTCAGTGGGTGGTGGTTGTTTTTTTTTAAGGCAACAAGATGAAGTATATAATCCTTTATATATGTATAATGCTTTATAATTATTACACGTGTGTTATGTCGGCTGCTCTTCAGATGGCCCAGGAAGGTAGGTAGGGACTGTCCTCTTCTTTTGGAAAGATGTGGGCTCCCAGTAGCCACTTGGCTTCCTTAAGATGAGCAGTCCCTGGGCAGAGTCCTCATTGAGAGTTGAGCCTTTTGCCTGCGAATCCAGCGCTGTGGGGGTAGACCCGGCACCTGCAGATTGCTCTTTGCCTCACAGCCTACAGTGTGTGTGCATTTTCTGTCCTCCATCAGTCAGTTCAGCTGCTCCTTGTCCAAATGCCTGGTTATGGGGGACTCACTGTGTTTGTATGAGTATTTGATAAATATTAGCTACTCTGATGATGATTTCTGTCGTCCAGGACGCTACCCCTCGCCACCAAGGAGTGACCTCATGTATTCAGGACAATGTGATGCTTGGGGCAATTTATCAAAGCTGAGTCAGGAACTGTTCATGGAGTCCTAGAACTGTGCCAGGCCATTTCGATGGCTTTTGGTTGTTGAGAAGTGGGGGATAGTGACTTCTGTCAAATCTATTTTGCTGCCCTCTGGTGGCTAGGAAATGAAAGTGCATGTGTGAATGGGCTTGAGCACTGCAAATATTAAAATGAATGCTAATTAATATTAATACAAATACCAAATATGTGTAGAGAAGTTAAGGAAAGGGAGTGCCTTAAGATCCAGATAATGTATCAGAAATGGTCAAGTCAGGTGGTATGACTTCTGTTGTCCTTGCTTCCTTACTACTTTCAGGCAGCTGTAACGATCCACCCCATCTGATATACGCATCCCTGAAAAGGCCTTACCGCGATCAGAACTACTTCCCTGTCGGCTCCACTGTGGAATACGAGTGCCGCTTGGGCTACAAACGGGACCAGGGCAGACCAACAATCACTTGCCTTGAGAGTTTAGAATGGTCCCAACCTGAACAATTCTGTACAAGTGAGTATGACCTTGACCGTCCAGAGTTTGGAAGAAAGAATATCATCCCTTCATTGATGCAGGAACGTGGCAGTGTGTGTTATTATTGAGAATTATTCCTTTTTAAAGCTCTGCATTTATTTATATGAAAGGTCAGAGTGTCAAAGAGGGGGAGGGACCAAGAGAGAGATTTTCCTGATATTTTCTGCCCATTGGTTCATTCTGTAGATCACTGCGATGCTTGAGCTGGCCACAGCTGCAGCCAGGAGTCAGAGACTGCACCCTGGCCTTCCACGTGGCTGGGAGAGACCCGCAGCATTTGAGCCGTCATCTGCTGCTTCCCTGAATGCGCAGTGGCAGGGAGCTGGGACGGAAACAAGGCGGGACTCAATCCCAGGCACACGTCCCAAGCGTCAGGTTGATGTGCTATGCCACGACACTGCCCGCAGAAGGATTCTTAGTAAAATCATTAGAGTTGTTTTAGCATAAGCCAATCAAACTACAGATTTACATGAAAGGTATACTTATGGATTTCACATTTAATTAGTTTGAGGTTACTTTAAATGAATTAAGTATGGATTATAAATCTGTTGCTTTTTGGGAACATAAATTGAAGGTGGAAGCAAAGAAATCTGTAGGTGAGTAATTTCAGCAGCTCATGAACGTACATGTGTATACATGATGCAAACATATCGTAGCTTCCGTGAAGTGTAATTAACAAGGGCTGTTTTTGGAGCATTGAGTGTCCAGCATGAAGTTTTGGTCTTCACCTACACTGTGAAATGTTGGCCGCAATCAAGCTAAGTAGTTGTATATCTACCACATCACCCAATGCCTGATGGTTTCATGAAAAAAAAAAACATTTTGTCTTCTCTTTTAGAAAAAAGATGCCCTCATCCTGGAGAGTTAACCAATGGCGACATCAAGATAGAAACTGACATACTGTTTGGTTCAACCATATACTTCTCCTGTGACCTGGGGTAAGTTTTGTCAAACTGGAGCTCGACAAAGGGGACCATCGGGATGGTGACCAGTGCTCACAGGTCAGGAATCTGTTCTCAGGCAGGAAGGAATCTGTTCTCAGTGGGGAAGGCCTCCGCTCACAGCTCCTCCGGGAGAATCTCACTACAGTGCAGAGTCAAGGAAAGCGGATTGCTTATGCCTTCAGATTCTTTAAATTCCTGAGCTTCAACACATAGTGATTTAAAATACTTCATTTAAAAAAAAAAGTCGTTTATTTGAAAGGCAGAGAGAGGGGGATTCCTATGCGAATAAACAATGTTCTACATCTTACACATTTAAAAAGTATTTATTTCTATTTTAAAGGTGGATTTACAGAAAGAAGGAGAGACAGAAACATCTTCCATCCTCTGGTTCACTTCCTAAATGGCCATGGCTGAGCTGATCCAATAGGATCTGAAGCCAGGAGCTTCTTCCGAGTCTCCTATATGGGTGCAGCAGCCCAAGGACTCGGGCCATTTTCTGCTGCTTCCCCAGACCATAAGCAGAGAGTTGGATCAGAAGTGGAGCAGTGGGGATATGGAGGATTGTTGTTGAGCCCCTGCACTGGCCTTCTTGCACATTTGTATTTACCCTTTGGTTATTACCTCTTTGAGCTTTTTTTTTTTTTTAATTATTTTTAATAATCTTACTTAGTCGATTAGGGTACAAAGGGTCAAGGGCTATAGGGTGAAAGTGGGTAATACCATTGTTTCCACACTAATATTATCATTTTTTCCCTGTATCTGGGATCAGGGGAGAAACAGAAGGAAAAGCCCCACCCAGCCTCCCTCCCATCCCAGGTCCCCAATGTGAGGCGCGCTCCAAGGGTCTTGCTCAAGCAGTTTTGATAGTTCAGCAGTTCTAGATTGCTGCCAATCCCGCTGTTCCAATCACAATGAAACCTATTCAGAGTCCACTGCTGACATAGTCTCTTCATGGTTGGGGTTCTGAGATCAGCAGTTCAGTTGGAGGGATCTCCAAAGAAACTTCATCTGAGATGTTCCCAGACCTGATTCTTGCCTGAGTTTGCTAGTACAGGGTCCAACACCATCCGTCACACCAATCAGCTTACGCACATGCTGGTCATTGCTATTGCTGGGTCAGTTCTGTTTCCAGCCCTGTCTTCCCCGTGTACCAACGGCTGTTGTAGTCCAGCTCGATCCTGCCTACTTCTTACTCGGCCCTCATGCAAACCAGTGGGAGCTGCAGCCTCGTTGTGGCAACTCCCCATAACCCTCACCAGGCCTGCCCCCTACCCTGGTTCCCATGCTTGCCAGTATGTACTGCAGGCTTGTCCAGTCTGTCCCACATCCCATTTAGCTCTTGTACATGTCAATGGGCATTGAAGCCTAGTTCAACCCAACCAATCTACTATTCAGCCTATACACTTACTGGCAGGTGCCTTTCTGTCTAGCCAACCCTTGCCCCTGTCCTGGTTTTCATGCTCTCCAGTGAGAGTGGTAACCCTGAGGGAGGTGCCCACTATCTCCCTACTAGGCCACTCCCACCCCCAGATTATGCACTCTCCAGGTGGTTCTGGCATTTGAATTGACAGAATTAGCTCCCAGTGCCAGCCTCTGCCAGCTGATGCTGCAGCTAAGCCCAAACAACTCTCACCCACTCTAATTTTTGCTTGCACCAGTTGGAACAGTCAGCCCACCATGGCCCTTCCCTTATCTAGCTCACATGAGGCCCACAGGTGTTATAGCCCTGCCTGGTCTAGTCTGCCCCCATCCCGACTCACACTTTTCAATGGAAGTAGTTGTCCAGCAGGGGAGCCCACATTCCTCTGTTGGCTTTGCCTCCTCCCCCTGGTATTCACATGTGTAGTTTGGGCGCTACAATCACATCTGGTATGGCTCATCTCACCTTGGCGTTCCTTAATGTGTACTGGTGTTTGTCACAACCGAACCTGACCCGACCCACACTCTGTTCTGGTGCTCGGATTCACCAGTGGGTGATGTGAGTGGGTTCAGCCTGGTCTGCCCCCAACCCATGCCATGTGTATGCCAGTGGGATAATTTCCATAGCCTGTTCTGGGTTGTTTCCTATCATGTTTCTTGCGCTTACCTGCAGGGACTGCGTCCTGCCAGAGAAGTTGCCCAGTCTCCTCCATCAGAACCTCTCCCAGTGCCAGATTTTGCGCATACCAGTGGGTCCATGAGCCAGCCCTACTCAGTTCACCTCCTGTTTTAGCAGGAACAGTGGCTTTTCCTGACTGGCTTTCAACCCAGTCTGGTTCTTACTGTTGGATGTTTCAACCCAGCCACAGCTCGTCCATACCCACATACAGCTCACACATGGTAAAGAAAGGGCTGAGACCTAGCCTAGACTAGCTTGTTTTTTTTTTTTTGATCATCACTTTTGTCAGGTGCTGTTTGTTGCCACCTACAGGCGAAGTATCTTAATGACACTGGAGAACTGGTAAAGAAAGATCAAAGATATGTGAAGGTCACTTAATTTTTTTTTCTCTCCCTCTGTTGCTTTAGGTATCAATTAATTGGTGAAAAGTCTTCCTTCTGTCTCGCTTCGGAGAATGGTGTCAATTGGAGTAACAAACTTCCGATTTGCCGAGGTAAGATTGATAAGAAGATTGAAGCTGTCAATGGGCGCCCATCACTTTCTGCCCTCCCTTCAGCTGTCAGTGTCGGTGTCTCTGATCATTGGAAAACCTTTCGTGCTGATGTGTGTTCCATGGAAGTAGACTGCTATGCTCTTCTGAGCCTCGTCTCCTACTCTACAGCCTGAGAACTGACACAACACCAGGCCTGTGACAAATGAGGCAAATGAGATAAGAGAGGGGACTCCCTCCTCCTCGCAATCCACAATTTTTACGGAAAAAACTACGAATGCCCTGAAACTTCTTATGACTTGACTCCATGGCTTGAACCCCTGGCCACGGGAGGTGTTTAACCTGGGTCTCCTGCTGCAGAGGTGCTGTCTTCCTGAGACCCAGGGTTCTTTACATTCCTCCTTCTTAGGATTAAAATTATTAACCAGAAAAAAAAAACCTGGAAACTTTATTTTAAAATTTGATCTATCTTTATCATGGGGCAAAAATAAAGGTTATACGGTAAACAAGAAATATAGTTTTGACTCTGGAAAATCTTTAACTCTCCCAAAGGAGACAGGACAGGAATAATAGCATGAGTTGGTGACTCCAGCCCAATACACAGGGCACTTCGAAGAGCTCAGCGGCAATGGAATTGAAAGATAAATTTATTTTGCTATAAAAAGTTTTGAAATTGAGGGCTTTTTTTTTATGAGACTTGTTTATTGGAAAGACAGATCAGATTTCTGGAGTAGAGAGACAAGAAGATCTTTCATCTGCTGGTTCACTCCCAGCTGCAATTTTTATTTTTTTTTATTATTTTAAAATAATTTTTAGTTTTATTAGACATGAAGATTTACAGAGAGGAGAGGCAGAGAGAAAGATCTTCCATCCTCTCGTTCACTCCCCAAGTGGCTGCAATGGCTGGAGCTGAGCCAATCCGAAGCCTGGAGCCAGGAGTTTCTTCCAGATCTCCCATGTGAGTACAGGTGCCCAAGGCTTTGGGCTGTCCTCTACTGCTTTCCCAGACCACCAACAGGCAGTTGGATGGAAAGTGGAATAACCAGGACACCGATGGGTACCCACATGGGATTGCTGGCACTCCAAAGCAGAGGATTGGCCAGTTGAGCCATTGTGCCAACCCCCTCTATGAACTTTGAAGATGCCTTGTCTGTCAGTGGCAGGAACAGGACTGGTTCCTGCACATTGAGGGGAGGGCAGAATGCGCACTGTGTTGAAGCGCTGCCTGTTTCTTTCCTCCTCTCTCTCAGCATCCATCCTAGCACTTCTACAAGTGATTTCTGAACACCCTGTTCTCAGCATTATGGCTAAATTTGGTTGTGTCATCAGGAGCAGAAGTCAGAGTTGATTGAGTGTCAGTGTCATTTACGGATGCTGCAGTAGGCAGCATGTGAGGTCTGCTGACGACAGATGACCTTCAGCCCTGCGGTGTCCCGGGGCCTACTTCCATCACACATCCTGTGCTGTGGCCAGACTCGTTCCTGTCACACACATCCTGGGCTCTGCCTTCCTACATCTGTCAGCACACCTTTTTCCTCCTTCATATTTGTTTTAAGTTTTCTTTTTCTTTTCTTTTTTTTCTTTTCTTTTTTCTTTCTTTTCTTTGTTTCTTTCTTCCTCCCTCTCTTTCTTTTTTTTTTTGTCCAAACCACTTTCTTCTACTTCTGGTCTTCAGTAAGGAATATTCATAAATGACACCATGGAAACGAAAGGGGAGTGGAGCCCCAAGAAATCTGATGGTTGGGATAAGCAATCTCCTGGTCTGAGGCCAGCACTTTCCTAAGCAGCTAGCAGCTTCAGGTTACAGAACTGTGGATCCCAAGCATCTATTCTAGTGCAGAAGCAGTGTGCCGTGTAAGCCCACTTCCTCTCATTGCCCGTATTTAGCTCCCCTGTCTCTATGATAGCTGTACTTCCTGATGAAGCCAGGAGCCTCCCCCAGGGTCTACCACATAGGTGTAGGGTCCCATGGCCTTTGGTCAGCCTCTGCTGCCCTCTCAGGCCTGAAGGAGGGAGCTGGAATGGAAGTGGAGCAGCCGGAACAGGACATGGGATATGGTGCTTGGAGAGGGAGGATTAGCCAGGGAGCTAGTGCACCCCTCCCAGCTTTTAAGACAAAGGAGTTGGAGCTTGTCCACTGTTGAGCTTCTCCCTGTAGAACAATGACTGGTATGTGCTAGGGAATCCGAAATGTTGAGACTAAACATGATGGGTGTAGTCCCTGTCAGTGAGCAAAGCATGAGTTACACATTTGCATATTCCCATCCATATTAAGTATTTGATATTCAATGCATACTTAAGTACATTTGGAACCATACAATTTGATGCACGCCTAATCACATGACTTTGTGGCTTTAAAAAAACGAGGAAAAACACAACTTCTCTAGAGAATGCAAAACCACTGAATTTATTACTGTTTTTATTTTTAAATCAGGGCAACTGCCAGAGAGAGGGCCTCTGTTTATTACCAGAGCAACTCTGCTTGTATTTATTAACAAATTCACCGGCTTAGTAAGATGTATTTTGAATAAAAGTCTCTGTGAGGCAGGACACATGAAAACAATCTTATTCCAAGGAGGCTAAATGTGAGCCGTGGCGTCCCGCTGTATCCAAAGGACCGATCCTTCACTCTCTGGCATTGCATGTACTGCCCTGGAATGAAAGGCCGTGCTCTCCACTCTTAGAAGGAGGGTGCATCTTAGCTTTTAAACTCACATGCTAGTTAACTCCTGACAGCCTTCTCTGACTGCCCTGCTTTTGGCTCTCAACTCATGCATCATGCTTTTTTTTTTTTTTTTTGGTACTAGTTTAATGTGTAATGTAACATGTGTAATTTTTGTCCTGCTTGCATGTGTAAATCTTACTATTCCCATAATTAGTTCCCAAGGTTAGCCTTCCTGTTATTCTGTGTTTGCTTTTGAAATGCCAAATATATTGTCTACTACTCTAAGACAATTCTTAGAACTGAACTTAACCAAATGGTAGATTTTGGTCTTTTGCAGTGGAATCTTTAATATGTTTTAGTCTTCCTTATTTGTAAAAATGCCTTACCAGTTTTATCTACTTAAAATATATTGGTTTTGGTTTTTTTTTCCAGAAGTACAATGTCCAGATCCTCCACCAATTGAAAATGGGAGAATCAGAGAAGAATCTGCCACTTACTCTTATAGACAGGTTGTCTCCTATCAGTGCGACAAAGGCTTCGTCATGGTGGGAAACGGCAATACTTTTTGCAATGAGGAAGGAGCCTGGAGTACCCCCCTCCCTGAGTGCAGAGGTAATCAGTGCACACGATCCTGTTTTGGCTGCATCCCCACCATTAGATCCATATAGAAACTGAGAACGCTCTGAAAGGGACTGCAAAGTGTTACATGGAAACATACTTGCTTCCCCCCGCCCATGGGACAGCTTTTTAACAGATTGCTCAGAAGGGCTTGTCCTATAGATGTGCAGACACATGTTTCTAACATACATCTTATATTTCTGCTGAATTACCTTACACTGGCCATTTCACACCTTGTTACTTTCAGAAAGTTCAGATAGATATCTCTGTGTTTATACAAAGAATATATAAAAGTGACTGTCCTTTGGCAGTTGGAAAACTCTTGTCTAGCTTTTGATGTCATCGAATTCCACTAATTTATTTTTCTGCCTCCAGAATCTCTCTCTCACTCTCTCTCTGTAAAGCTTTAGTTTATTTTTATTCAAAGGCAGAGCTACAGAGAGGGAGACAAAGAGATCTTCCATTTGCTGGTTCACTCCCCAAATGGCAGCAGTGGCCAGAGCTGAGCCAATCTGAAGCCAGGAGCCAGGAGTTTCTTCCTGGTCTCCCATGCGGGTCCAGAGTCCCAAGCACTTGAGACATCCTCTACTGCTTCTTAGGCCATAAGCAAAGAGTTGGTTTGGAAGTAGAGCAAGAAAACAAACTGGCTCCCATATAGGATGCCAGTGCCACAGGCAGAAGCTTAGCCTGCTATGCCATGGCACCAGCCCCCAGAATTTCTCTTATTGACTGTTCTTTCTCATTTTTTAAACATATTTTCCTTAATGTCTTTTATATCCAGCCTGAACTGTTTTTAAATGTGCATTTATATTGTTTTCATCTACTTGGAAGGCAGAGTGATAGAGGCCGTTGTGTTATGCCCCCAAATATACATAATAAGCAGGGCAGGACTAGCTCGAAGCCAGGAGCCTAGAACTCTCTTCACATCTCCCACATGAGCAGCAGAGGCACCAGTACTTGAACCCTTATCTACTGCCTCTGAAGATGCATTAACAGCAAGATAGATCAGAAGTAAATAGTAGAGGGCTGGTGTTGTGGCACAGTGACTAGAGCCCACCACCTGCACCACAAGCATCCATGTGGATAAGCATGGCCCAGAGTTTGGGCCCCTACCTCCCATGGGGAAGACCTGGATCAAGCTGGTCCATTGGTTACATCCCAATGTCTTTTGTCTTAGTGTAAGTGAAGGAAGACATTTTTGGGGAAAATATATAGACAGGTGTGTCACAGAATGAACTTATAACTCCCTTCAGGGTAGGTTTCCTCTTTTGTTATAAAAACATCTGAAGAACCTCCATGGTACTTTAGTGGCCCATGGATGGAACTTATTTCATGGCAAAAACCTGAAGCATTTCAGCTCCTCAGGAAATGCACAGTGTGACTTGGTTTCCTAAAAGGCGTAGAACAAGCAATGGCCAAAAAAAAAAAAAAAAAAATCTAAACTCAGCAATTGCTGGCTAATTTTTTTTTCCTTATATTTTTGCTCCACAGGAAAAAATGCACCTCCCAAAGCTACAGTGTCCACAACAGAAAATGTTCCATCAACTCCAAGGCCTACCCAAAGCAATGGTCCAAGTATTGAAGTCCCACCAACTACTCGGAAACCTTCCTCAACAAGTACTTCAGGTACTAGACACCCACCAACACCTCAGGAACCCACCACAGTCAATACCACAGTTACAAGACCCACCACAGTGAATATTCCAGCTAGAGGCACCATGCCAGCACCTCAGAGACCCACCACAGTGAATATTCCAGCTAGAGGCACTATGCCAACACCTCAGAGACCCACCACAGTGAATATTCCAGGTAGAAGCACTATGCCAACACCTCTGAGACCCACCACAGTGAATATTCCAGCTAGAGGCACTATGCCAGCACCTCAGAGACCCACCACAGTGAATGTTCCAGCTAGAGGCACTATGCCAGCACCTCAGAGACCCACCACAGTGAATGTTCCAGCTAGAGGCACTATGCCAACACCTCAGAGACCCACCACAGTGAATATTCCAGCTAGAGGCACCATGCCAACACCTCAGAAACATACCACAACCAGATTTTTACCTACACCTCAGAAACCCCCCACAGTCAATGTTCCAGCTGCAGACACTATGCCAACACCTCAGAAAATCACCACAGTCAATGTCACGGCTATAGACGTCACACTAATATCTCAAAAAATTGCCAGAGTAAATGCCTCAGTTACTAGACTCTCATCAACACCTGAGAAACCCCCCACAGTCAATGTTCCAGCTAAAGACGCTGCCCTAACACACCAGCAACCCATCACAGTGAACGTTCCAGCTACCAGACTTCCACTAACACCTCAGAAAATCGCCACAGTCAATGTTCCAGCTACAGATGCCACACGAATACCTCAGAAACCCATCTCCATAAAGGCTTCATCTCCAAGACTTCTACCAACATCCCAGAGGCCCACTATGATAAATGCTTCCGTCACAAAGGCCCCAGCCACAGCACAGATACCCCTCGTATCAAATGCTTCATCTACAGACACACCAGTGGCAGCCCAGAGTCCCACCATGGCTAAGGCATCTGCCTCACAGCCCCCACCGACCAGCCAGAAAGTCACTGTAAGAAAGCCTTCATCCACACACAGTCTTTCAACAACAAAGAAGTTCACTGCTTTCCATACCCCACTGACTAAGGGTCTCCACAGTACCACAAGACTTACTTCTGCTCCTATTACAGCAATACAAGATGTATCTGTTACCATGACAACCAAGCATACAAAAAGCACACCTCCAAGTGAGCAAGACTCCTCCTCTTCAGGTCAGTTGACATTGTTGAGGTTTCCTGAATAGGTGCCTGGCATGCTAAGTCAAGGAATCTGAACAGGACTCAACTAATACAATCAAATGAATAGTTTCTAATTGATGGTGGCTAGAATTTTTCATACTAATGCTTTTGACTTTCTGCAGAGGCACGTGTGGATTATGCTAGGAAAAATCTGTAAAATGCTAACATTCATCGAACTATGAAGAAAGTTAGGTGGCCGTAAAAACAGTGCTAGATAAGGTTAATGATGTTCTGTTTTGTTCAGTTGTTTGGAGGGTCATTGAATTCTTTGAGACTCCATTGAAGAACCAAATTTGTACCATCCTTGAGGTGGATTCACTAATTGGTGAAGCATCTCAGTGATTTCTAAGGAAAGCTAATGAATCATGGCTTTGTGGAAATGAAGGAAAGTATACTGGAGGCTTCCAATGTCCCTGTCGGATGCATGAATGAAATCTTTACTGATTATTGCTGCTTCAGGCCACTGAGATGTTTAGCATATAACCAGTTTTATTGCTCTTCTCATTTTCTAATGGAGACTACCTATTTCTGAAAATTTTTTTTGGGGGGGGGAACATGCCCACAAACTTGAAGCAGGAGATAACTTTTTCTAAAAAGTCAAATTTTCTTCCTTTTAAATAATATTTATTTATTGGAAAGGCAGATTTATAAAAAGAAGGAGGGACAGAAAGATCTTCCATCCACTGATTCAGTCCTCAAGTGGCCACAGTGGCCAGAGCTGAGCTGATCTAAAGCCAAGAGCCAGGAGCTTCCTCTGGATCCCTGACAGATGTAGGGTTCCAAGGCTTTGGGCCATCCTCTACTGCTTTCCCAGGCCATAAGCAGGGAGCCGGATGGGAAGTGGAGCAGCCACTAATATGAACCGGTGCCCACATGGGATCCCCACAGATGTAAGGCAAGGATTTAGCCACTAGGCCATTGCGCTAGGCCTCAAAATATACAATTTTCAACACAACAAGAGTAAAGTCAACTCTTAGAAGACTGTATTAAGAAAAAAATGTGGGCAGGTGCATAGCCTGGAAGTTAAGATGCCTCCCACATCAGCAACCCTGAGCTCACCCTCCAGCTTCAGTTCTTCACTCCAGCTCCCTGCAAATCACATGGACCCTGGAAGGCAGCAGTAACGTGTAGTAGAGTCCTTCCGATGTGTGTGGGAGATTAGAATGAGTTGGCAGGCATTTGGTGGAGTGAACCATGGAATGGGGCTCTATCTGCTACTCTGCCTCTCAGTTGAGTGACTTTGCTCAGTCAGCAGGTGTTTCTGTAACCACCACCATGAATGTCAGTCCTGAACACAGTCCAGACTTCCAGACCCTGGAGACTGAGCTCTCTGCACCTGCACCTTGTTGCCTAGGAATGGACATGCTAATCTGCCTCCTCTGCGGGCCCCTCGTATATCCCTGTGCTTCAAACACTTTTTTTTAGCTGTGACTTTACACACATGATGACTTTATTTTCCTGATTAGTATTTTGAGCTCTACGTATTATGCTGTGACCCTGATAATTAGAGGACATTAAACATTACAGATAGTATGTTGCCTACCCCTGGTTTTCTACCTCTAAGGCAATTAATTACTGCCATAGGATCATGAGCTTGATTCCTGTTTTCATTCTTACACAACATGTGTGTGTCTTTAATAGTATTTTGAATGTTTTCATAACAGACCTTATATTGTATATTTCATGATCTAACCTAGCATTTCCACTCAGCCTTGGTTTTGTGACTTTCATTGACTCATTTGAATTTAATTCATTAACTTTAACTCTGGCATGAGCCTGAGTTGGTTTTCCCCACTGTCTAAATTACTGTGGTATTTTCGAGTCTCAGATATTTAGGTTCATAGGGTGAGATAAAGAGAAATAAGTTTCTCCTGATAGAATCTATTGTCGAATTAGTTATGTTGAAATATTTCTTTTAAACCTATAAATAACACATTTAAACTAAGCCTAATGTGTTAATTATGATAAAAATATAAGCAGCATTCAGCCTTGGAACTCTCTTTTGTACTTTTTTTTTAAAGATTTATTTTTATTATTTTTTGATTGGAAAGGCGGATATACAAAGAGGAGAGACAGAGAGGAAGATCTTCCATCCGATGATTCACTCCCCAAGTGAGCACAACGGCCCATGCTATGCCGATCCGAAGCCAGGAGCCTCTTCCGGGTCTCCCACACGGGTGCAGGGTCCCAAAGCTTTGGGCTGTCCTCGACTGCTTTCCCGGGCCACAGGCAGGGAGCTGGAAGGGAAGTGGGGCTGCCGGGATAGAACTGGCGCCCATATGGGATCCCGGGCGTGCAAGGCGAGGACCTTTAACCACTTGTGCCACCGCGCCGGGCCCTCTCTTTTGTACTTTTAACTCAGTCTCTCAAGGCATGAGATAATACCCACCATATTAAAAAAAGAATAGCTTCTGCTACTTAGAGAGATTGTGCTGCTGGGTCACGTGCCATGCTTTTCTTGTTGATCAGCATGTCACTGCACCAGCCTCACAAAGGAAGAGGTTTTAACTGTACTGATGAGGAATCCAAGCTTGGAGATTCTCTTGTAGACTCACTTTCAGTGAGTCATGAGTAGCACATAGGGAGGGAATGAAAACTTAAATGTACTTGCTGGCTCCAAACCTGGTGCCTTTGCTGCTGGGTAACATTGCCTCGTCCCAGTAGCATTTTGAGTAAATGTGTTTGCCCTACTTACAAGAGCAGTATTTGGGCAATGCCTCTTTCGTACTCAATTGAAAAATACGAATAATGATATAATGAGGTAATTTGTAGATCGTTGCTGAAAGGGATATAGGTGTTTGAGTTTCTTGATGGTATGAACAATTGTTCATAGTTGAAACTTTGCAGTCGTTTTTCTAGACATCAAGTCAGAACCCCGGATTTAGATGGTATATGTCTTGGTACTCAGTAGCTTTCAAACTTGATGTTTCTAATGTTGACTCTATGGAACTACTGCAGAGGCTGGTATTTCTGTTCATTGATTAAGTTACTACTAGCAGTTGTTTCTTGAATTTATAATCCTTTTAGTTACAGAGATCTAAACTGCTTCTCAGTCTACTGGTATAGTCTATTGACATTCATACATATATAAAATTGCTAAGCCCATGAAAATGTAAAATTCTTATGGTTATTTTTTTCTTCTTTTTCTTTAGGTGCATCCAAGATTATACTTGGTAAGTTTGACTCTCAGACAGTTAAAAACAGTTGTCACCCCTGTGGGGTTTACAACCGGTTTTCCTGGGAGAGAATATCATCCTTTTACTGTCTCAGGAAAACTATCCGAATGCGGTGTGTGTGGCTGCCTCAGCGAACACAGGTGCATGCATTGTACAGGCATGTTGTGTGGACCCCGCTAGGTACTCAGTATGTTCCTCTGTATTCCAAATCATGTTCCTGCTCCAAGGTAATTGCAGGGCGACTTCAAATCCTCTGGCCCGCCAGTCAAGTGTTACTGCGTGCCCATTGTATTAATATATCATCCTAGGTACTTCAATATTTCAGTAGCCAGAGGACGCAGCCATTAGTCCAGTGACTAACCTCAAGTATTTCATCCTTAACCATAAACTAGCCCTTGACCATTCCAGATTTCTGTTCTAGCCCGAAGAAAGCAGGGGGCATCCATCGATTCTACTCTTCTGCTCTCCCTTTCCCCTACTGGTCAACGACTTAAAAGTATGTTAGCTACATGAGGCCAAGACATTGATTGTGCCACAGGCTGTGCTTCAGAGTTTGAGTCGGTCTTTGTTGTAAACATACGGTCTGACGTGCAGTGCTTCAACAAGATGAGTGAATGAACTGTGTTTGGTAGGCATGAATAGAGCAAACTTGGCATACTGTTAAGTCTAATAGAATATAGACTTTCCTATGAAAGTGTTTAACATTTTGTACTTATAAGTTCCCTATCGTATGCATGCCAAAGAACAGCACAACTGAGACAGATACTTTATTTTTACTGTTATTACTATTATTATTTGTCATGATTGCTTGCATTTATCATGGTATCATGAATGAACCTCTCCTCAGCTAATCTTGGAACATTCCAACATTTGGAATTCACTTTATTCATTCTATATTTCACATAGAAATAAATGTATTCTTATTGAATTTCCCATGATTTAATAATTATTTGTACAAAAGTGAAGAAATTAATGGATGAGCTTTCTCTTGCCGTACCACTTGGTATTTCTCAGTGAAAGTTTTGGATTCTTTTTCCCCCTGAAATGTTCGAAGCGCAGATTTCCCGGGCCGTGTTTCCTGAGGTTGGTTTGTAATTGCAGTTTGTGCCCAGCAGGAAAGAGGGGCTCCTTCTTTCTCAAGTCAGACACAGAACACACTTTTGGTGATGTTATCCTTTTAAGACATAACTGAAATTTTACATCTTCCATTTTTTTCCATGAATTGAGTCTTTGTCACTTTAAAGATAAATCAGTGGTATTGCAAGGAGATGACTTTTGTTGATTACCTTGCAGTGAATGTGGGTGATAGAGGTGATGGTAGAATTCTCTGATTACTTGGTTCATCATCACAGAACTTCTAGCTTTGCCCGAGAAAGGATGCTGCTGTTGTGAATTTTCAGGAAATCTTTATATTGGTTCTGTATCTGTATTTCTCATTTTTGTTTGTTCGTTTTTTGTTTTTTCATTACTGCTTTATTTCCACCAGGAACATTTTTAAACATTCATTGTTGTTCCTCTGTGAGATTTTAATTGCACACATATATTCTGTTTCTTCATTTTCTACATCTATGTCTGTACTTTAGAAATTTGAAGGAAAGTAAAAAAGTTTTTTTTTTCACCTTGGAATGACGGAAGCTCCATTGAGCCTACCTAACTCTAGGAAATGTTTTTGTTTTTAGAGACAATAGAATGTAGGAGAGCAAGCTTAGGCCTTGGAGTCTGTCAGACTTAGATTGCAATCTATAGCTCTTCATTTAGTTATTGTTCAACCCAAGTGATTGGTTTAATTTTCAGGAGTCCCAGCATTTTTATTTATTAGATGGAAGCCTTATGTGATAAGGGTTTACAAACTCCTAGCTCAATGCCAAAAGTTGACTAATTCAGTAGCCTGAAGAAGGCCTCACATGCAATCACTGTTGCTTTCTTAGGATGAATTTCTGAATATACTATTCCCTGTAGCCACACCAAAAAGTAAGACTACAGTAACCATTTGCATTGTTACATGGCAGTTACTATCCTGAGATTGGCAGGGATATGTATATATATTTTTCTTTTCACACAGCAATCCTATGCTGTAGGTTTAGACTATAAGAACTGGAGTTTTGCAAGATTTCTAAGTCATAGTCAGTAGAGGTAGGTGACTAGTTTATCCTATATTAGGTACTTTGCAGAATGTAAAAATCCTCATCCCAGGTGATAGGACATCTGAGCTAGCACATCTGAGACTGGACACTCAAGGCACATACGCATGGGTTTCAAAAACCTTTTGCACCAGAATATACTCGGTTTTTGGTTGCATTATTACCTACTGGCTTATTTTAGTGGCTTCCAAATCATCTTGGGTTACCATTCAACTAATGTGAGTCACACATTTGGAAAAACAGTAGGTTCCATTTTTCACAGTTTTTTCTTTCTTTCTTTCTTTCTTTTTTTTTTTTTTTTTGACGTCTGCGTATTTCTAATTCTTGTAACAGCACTGCATGGTTTTTTTTTTTTTTTGCATTACTGAGATTCTATACTGTGACTGTCATAAAACCCGTATGAGGATATCGAAAGAATATTAAAGAAAAGGAGCATCCTTAGAATAAAGTGGTTTTCCATACCCTTCAGTGACCCCTGCATATCTGTCCTTCAGTACATCTAATTCAGCTGGCTTAGGCTGCAGCCTAGCCCAAATCCAGCTATACTTGCATCTGAAATCATTAAGTGAAATAAAGAAGGTGCAGATCTAGGAGTCTTCTCCATTTCCTAGCATACTTGTTCCTACCTGTGACAAATCTCATTGTAAACTTATTACAATTGTTGTCTTGTTATCGAGGTGTTACAATTTAGTTTGTTTATGTACAAAATCCTATATCTGGAAAAGGAAGTATGTACTTTTCTCTTATTTAAAAAAAATGAGGGAAAACAGGAAGACACCAAACCCAGTGATAACCAAAGACTCATAGAGTGCCTGTGCATGTCTGGAGATGGTGTTAAATCTGCATTGATGAATCTGGAAGTTTCAAGTTTACCCAAGCACATTCTGTGTCCCATCTCCGTAAGTCCAGTGTGACTTCACTTGTCCACAGGCTCTATAGTCTGCCAACAGTAAGCAGGATTCCAGCCATCTACAACCTTAGCTGTTCATAACACATGGAGTGCCTTTCCCCCTTAGCTCAGAGGCACCTAAGGGCTTTGGGAGTGATCAGAGTGGCACTTCTGCTACTTGCTGGGCATCGTACTGGTTGTAACTGCTGTTGACCCAGTTAGACCAGGTAGCAAGCTGCTGTATAATGTCTTCTATACTTTGTATGGCTCTATGTGTACGTAACACTCCTTTTTTATTGAAGAAACCCAAAATTATTTAATTTTCCTACCTGAGAGCTCATCAGTTTAGTGATTAGGGACTCGTCGGTCATAATTTCATGCTTCATTTTGGCCAAGTTGCATACATCTACTATTAACACTAATTTATTTTTGGTTTGATTTTCTGAATTTTGAGAATTCAGAAGTCACAGATTACTATCTTCATGCCTGAAAGTTTTGTTTGCATCTGATTTGGGAGACAGTGTGTTCTTAACTATGTTACCAAGGAAACATGCGGAATTTTATTTCTAATATTTTTGTTTTGCTCTGGTTTTCTGTTAATTCCTCTGATCTCCACAAACTTTCTTCTAGAATTATTTGTATATAGTGGTCAGTTTTCTTGGAATATCCTTTTTTTCATTGCATTTCATTTTATGACATCGTTTCATAGGCTCCGAGGTTCCCCCAACCCCTCCCCCCATGGTGGATTACTCCACCTTATTGCAGTATTACAGTTCAAACCCAGTCTTGTTTCTTTCATTGCCATCATGTACCATGCATAGAGTTCAGCATCTTATTGTCCAGCTCAATTCAACAGTTTCTTGGGGAGACCATCTCTGGTCTAAAAGCAGAGCTGGCAGAATATCATCCCGACCAATTAAAAGCCATAACATAACATCACCAACTGTTTACAACATTATGGAGAATATCCTTTTAATCTGGTCACCCAGATATTTTGAACCAATTTGAGTCAATCTTCTGCTTTTTCTTCATCTTTGAAACTGAAAAAGGAGATATTAAAAATGTAGAAATTACTGGGAACTAGTGAGGGGGAAGGAAAGCTTAAAATTTTGAAAAGCTGTGATTTATTTTTTGAATAATCTTTCAAAGCCAATAATGTAGTGTTGGGGTGATCAGCTTAAAAGGGATGATTCAGGTAAATATTACTAAAATGTTATGGAAAAAGTTTTTAAAATCTTGTCCACGTGGCATGATCTGTATTTTACTGATAGAAGTCACATTAGCTGCCATTTCTCCCTTGCTGTCCTCTGTAATTTTCTTTGTAGTACAAATGAAAAAAGTAGGATTTGGTTCATTCAGAGTAGAGGCAGAGAAGAAGAAAATGGAGGAAGGAGAGAGGAAATGAGTTTTTAGAAAAGGGAAGTCAGGTTTTAAAAAAAAAACAAGCCATCAAATCAGATTGTTGGCCAAGTTACTTGACCAATTAATAGCCGTTGCACTCAAAATAATGCTTTTAATTTTAAAAGTAAGTGCAGGAATGAAATGTAATGATAGATAGATTAGCCATTGGAGGGTATATTCTTTATATTGTCTCTACTATGAACTGACTGAAAGGCCTTCCCTAACTGTCCGGGGAGCCTTCACCTTTCTGAGACTCAGTTGACTTACCTACAAGTTAGCATGAACTTTAAGATCTTTTCTAGTTCTAGAACTGTGTAACCTGGTCATCATTAAAAAATTACGTTTGAACATTGTGGTACTTTAAATATGTTTTTTCTTTCAAAGAAAGCAGGAGAAGTAACATGCAGTGTTTGTTGCCAAACTTGTGGTGGGACAAAGTGCAATCGCATCTTCTCTTTCAGTTCGTTTCCCAGCCAGTGTGTATGTTATTATGAAACCATGGCATATGTCTGTTATTGTTCAGATTTCTATTAACTGTGTCGCCCATTTTCCCCCCTCAAGGAATTGTTCCTGTTATTGTAATAGTTGGTATCCTAATTCTAGTAAAAATTGGCTGGGACTGTGGAAAATCAGGGTGAGCGAAAATCTTGATGACTTTTGAAATTTATTCTTTACCTTTTTTCAGTAAAACTTGATACTGCCTTTATCTTATTTTCAGACATTTTGTCTCTTCATTCTTTCTGTCTATAATTCCCACCTTGGATGGAAAGACTCTCTGTCCTTCCCTCTTTTTAGTATGTTTAAGGACACAAACCACCTTTCGAAGGAAAGTGGTTTGAAAGCAGTCTTACTTTTGTAGTAAATTATCCTTAGTCTGCTTGGTAGACTACGATGGGATCTCTCTGTTACACAGAAACAAAGGAATCTTGGCAAAGCAATTTCTAATGCAGTGCTAAATTGCCATGACCAGGTCTTTTTCTGGGTTGTATTTATTCGTTGTTGGCCAGTTTTCGCCAACAACATCCTACAAGTTAAGAGGGCAGCCTCTGCCTGTGGAATTTGAATTTCTGGGCCACCGTTCACAAGCTTTGACTATTAGCAGCTTAGCAGCTCTGTGCCTTAGTTTTCACATCTATAAAATGAAGAAACTATAGCACCTGCCTCATGGTTTATAGATGTGAATCAAATGAGTTGTTACCTGAGATCACGTGACATGATCTGTATTGCATGTTTGGCACACAGTGAGCATTCGGACATTAAAACAGAAACATGAAAAATCGCCAATATTCCTTGAACTATCTGCCTGAAATCCACATTTAAGTATGTCATGGTTGGTTCTGATGTAGATGGAGGAGGACTTAAATTGGCTTGATGTTTCATTAATTCATATGGTGCTACTAAGTTGCTGGTTTTACTTCTTTGCATGATCTGAGCTATTTCTCATCCTTTATAGCTCATTTTCTCTTTAATAACATCTTAGAAGATCTAAGATGATGTTATTAAAGAATGTAAGCTTTTTGTAAATCACTAAATGTTCAATCTTTTGGTTAAAAGTTTTGGTAAAGGTTATGATGGGAAGTTAATACTTTACAGATAGTGGTTCAGAACCAGGGAAGAAGCTAGATGCTTTGTTGGTAAATGTAGTCAGATCTCATGTTCTGTCCATATTTTTCAGAAACTTAAGGAGTATAGTACAATGCCAAGGCAACAGTGTCAGAATTCCGTGTCCTGTAAAGTAAGTGAAGCTGGATTCCTTAGCAAAGCTAGTCTGGGGAAAAATAAGCTTCCAGTCTTGGAAACTCCCATGCCTTTGTTCCAGTTCTCCTTTGGAGAGTTCCAAATTCATCACGTTGTAAATGATCGGTTTCTAGTACTCTGTGAATTTGCCAAAGCCAAAACTCTGAGGCCCCGTGGTTCAGGATGGGGCAGAATGTACTGACTCACCACATGCTCCTGCGATCACAGTGGTTGCTCAGGATTTTTTAATGGGATGAAAAATGCTGGAGCATGAACTGTTTGTTTTAAATGGATTTTGGGGAGTTTGCAATAAACCTAATGGCTCCATTTCTGAATCAAAGGAAAATTCATACAAATCCTTATGAAAGAATTTTTGCTTTTCATAGTGAAAAACTTCACTTGCCTTATTAAGTGTAAGCCATCAAGGGTAAGATGCAACTTTATACATACCTGGTTATTTTCAGGATCTCACAGATTTCACTCAAAATTTGAAGTTATATAGGGTGATACTTAGAGAGTGTGAAAATGACTTGTAGCTGCTTTGGATGGTTCTTCATGTTTTCCACTGGCAGGATTTATTTTCGTGTCAGAAATGTGAGGTTTGTGTGAAAAATTTTAGTTTAGGAATGGGAGTATAAACAAATGCTGATATTTTGCTTTGTGATTGAAATGAAAACTCTATGCTTCAATTCGTTTTTCTTTTTCTACTATTCAGCTCTTACAGTACGCATGAGAGCAAAGCATTCAATGTTAAGTTTCATAATGTAAATGAGACTGATGATGCCTCAGAAGTAAGACTTTCTGATAAAGTATAAAAGGTATCTATGGTTTAATAAACTTGTGTATCTAACAAGTGGCCATCACTGCAGCTGGCTGAGGGCTGCTCTTAAGGGATAATAGAGGCTTCAATCTCTATTATTGCCGGTACTGCTTGCTTGCTTCAGTGGATAATTAATAAAACATTTCTGTGACACACATGATATGCATTCTCAACTCTTTTGTAGTATGCTCATCATCTCATCCTGGGGCTAGCACTTGGTTGCTTGTAATGATTAGATGCCAGGAAGATTTGGGAATAGGGAATGAATGATGCATTAGGGCTCAATTCTTTAAAAAATTATTTTTATTGGAAAGACAGATTTTTTTCAGAGAGATAAGGAGAAAGAAATCTTCCATTGGCTGACTTACTTCCCAAATTGTTGTAACAGCCAGAGCTAAGCCAATCTGAAGCCAGGAGCTTCTTTTGTGTGTCTCCTGTGGGTACAGGGCCCCAAGGCTTTGGGCCATCCTCTGCTGCTTTTTCAGGCCATAAGCAGGGAGCAGGATGGAAAGTGGAGCAGCTGGGACACAAACCGGCAGCCATGTGCAATGCTGGTGCTTATAGGTGGAGGATTAGCTTGTTGGGCCACTGCTCTGTCCCCAAGGATGTTTTCATTACGACAGTTTGAATCATGAGATGATTGGCTTATCTTGTATTTATTTCTCCTTTTGCTTGGTGGCATCTAGAGTTTCTGGTGTTTAAGGTAATAGGTGTTAAGGTATGTGTTGTCATATGTATAGCTCCTGAAGACATGTCTTTACACAGAATGATCATATAAAAATGACTTGTTGTAAATATGTCTGTTCAACTTTCTAAGCACTTGAATCTCTGGATTGAACCTCTTTCTTCTCTTCCACATGTATTCTGGGACTTTTCCATGAACTTTTAATCAGAAATTATCTTAATTGCACGTAGCTTTGCTATTAATCTCAAATAACTAAAACCCTATAATATTTGAATTGTTGCTTTAACTACTGAACTACACCTGTCGACAAGTTACTCATTCTGTGTCACTTAACTAAATTTACCTTTTTCCCCAAAAATATCCAGCTTTTTAAAAAGGTGATAACATAGTAACCAAAAATTAATGCTTCTCACTAGTAAGTAAAATCATCTTGATCGGAATTTTTTTTTTTAACTTTCAGGACACACACGTGTAACATTGGCAGTTGTACTTGTGCTTCTAATAACTGGTGGCTAGCTGACTCCGCTGAAGAAGAGTTTTTATTTTTGTAATGCTTACTGCAGAAGTGACTATATTAAATGTTATAGTACACTTCGTTTTGCATGTCATCCTTTTCTTTAAGTAAGATTAGGTATGTCAACAGAACAAGGAGAAAGGAGTTGGTCCTGGAATCACATTCTTGTCTGCAAAGCACCCTCACGTCCCAGATTCTGTTGAAAAGAGTCTGGGTGGAAAAGATGGGAAAGCAAGTACGTGCTAGTGAACCACCAGGAATGGTGAGCTTCTCTGATTAGTTGGTGGCAAGGGAGGCATGTAGAATGAATTTTACTGTTTTGTAATATTTATTTATTTTTATTTATTATACCTGTAAATTTGTTAATTGTATATATATATATATAACAAAATTTGAAAAATACAGGAATCAAGGTAAGGCAGAATAGGGCAAGGACACATTTAAACGGATGGAAAAACATTTCATCCGGATGAAGCAGAGAGGACACATTCCAGTAAATAGGAAAGGACAGAACAACAGCAGAGAGTACCTGGAGACTGACAGACACAGGAAAGCGGCGGGCACAGCGGTATGGTGTTACAGTGACTGATACTCCAGCAGCATTCAGCTAACGGCAATCGGGCAGAACTCCACCAGCAACCAGGTGGGAAGGGACTTTCACTGGGAGCTTGGGAGGTGAACCCAGACAAAGCACTGTCTGTCCTGCTGGTCCGTTTGATTTGAGCAGGAGCAGAAACAGAGCAGCAGATTCCAAACGGGCAGTGAGAAAACAGCATGGATTTCATAGCACAGTCCACCCCCTAGAGTCGAATTGGGAGCCATTTTGCATAAGGAGACAAAGGCAAGAGAAAGGACTGAGCATAAACTGAGCTGGGAGTGAACTCATTTCTGACTCCGTGAACTGCATCAATGTGGCATTCTACAGGTTCCACCCAAGACAGCTCTGGGTAGCCCTCAGACCTAACTGCCAGCAGATCAAGAACTCTAGTAGGAGCACATCAGGTGCCATTTTACACACTGTGGCAATAGCTTTAGGACTGCAGGGGACAACAGTGAGCTGCGCATGTTCTGAGCTCAGGGAGAACTCACTGAGTTCTGTAGATTGCACTGGTCCTGCAGGAAAATAATGACTGTGGCATCGTACAGGGTCAAAACAGGTCCGTGTGGCACCCAGACCTAATGTCCAACAGGTTCCGACAAGATCAGCACCTTCAACAACCTAACTGTATAGGACACCTGGTGTCTCCCTCATCCTGGGACCTGCTCCAACCAGAAGTGAGAGAAAGGTTGCAGAGACAACAGTGCAGCCTCAGCACGGTATCACAGGAGGTGGAGAGGGGTGATCCAGGAGTTGGGGCTATGGAGACCATGGTGGAAATCTGACATAAGAACCCAGACCTGGAACTTGCTGGAGGTTGTGGCAAAGTGGCTGCAAGCAAAAAGTTGTGTACCAATTGCAATAAGTAAAATTGAACCATAGACCTGTGGGTGACACAGCTAGGAAAACTGCCCCAAGGAGAAGACTGTGCTAACCAGAAGTACAATGACCAAGAGCACAAGAAGAGACAAAATCACAATGAATATTACTGAAAACTCCCCTGCAAAGGAGCAAAATCCTATGCCAACCTCAGAGTTAACTGAAGAAGACATCGATAAAATGGGGGACACAGAATTCAGAAAACTCATTTTAAAGCTTCTGATCAACAATGAGAAACACATGCAAGAGTTCAAAGAATTTAAGGAAGCAATAAAGCAAATCAAGGCTGATCTATCAGAAATTAAGAACGCAGTAGAGCAAATTAACAGTACAGTGGAGAGTCTCCAAAATAGAATGAAGTAAGCAGAAGAAAGAATCTCAGATTTGGAAGATATTTCCTGTCATCAGGGGGAAGCAAACAAAAAGCTGGAAGCAGAACTGGATCAGGCCAAAAAAAGTATTCAAGGATTGAAAGACACGATTAAGAGGCCAAATATAAGAGTTATGGGAGTCCCAGAAGGTGCAGAAAGAGAAGCTGAATTTGCAAATGTATTTAATGAAATAATCAAGGAAAATTTCCCTAATCTAGAGAAAGAATTGGGAAACAAGATCCAGGAGGGGCACAGAACTCCCAACAGGTTTGATCAAAAGCAATCTTCACTAAGACTCATGATTATCAAGCTCTCTGCAGTTGAACATAAGGAAAAAAATCTTTAAATGTGCACATGAAAAAAATCAATTGACATATAAAGGAATGTCAATTAAACTCACAAGAGATCTCTCACAGGAAACTCTACAGGCAAGAAGAGACTGGAGTGACACATCCCAGATTCTAAAAGAAAAAAATTGTCAGCCTAGGATAATATATCCAGCAAAGGTTTCTTTTGTCTTTGAAAATGAAATAAAATTCTTCCACAGTAAAGAAAAGTTCAAAGAATTTGCCTCTGCCTTACAAATGATACTTCAAGATGTTCTCTTGACAGAGCAGAGGAATAGCACCCAACAAAACCAAAGGCAAATGGGAAGAACATCCCAGTAAAATGACAACAGAAGACTAAACCAATGAACAACCCATTCTTAAGATGACAAGATCAAAGTACCATCCATACATATTAAACTCTGAATGTAAATGACTTAAGCTCAATCAAACCTCATAGATTAGTAGACTGGATTAAAAAACAAAACCCATCTATTTATTGTCTAGATGAGACACACTTCACCAACAAAAATCAGCGGAAACTATATCACATGGGTTTTGTTGTTTTCTGTTAGTTTCATCTCTTCAAAATACTTTCTTCTATTTAAATCATTTAATGACTCGTGGATCGTACAGTAGCATCCTTTTCTGCAAGAAGGTTCTTGATTTTCATTTCTTCAGCTACACGTTAGTCATTTGATAGCACATTATTTAACTTCATGGTGTTGTTAATTTCTATTTTTCTTTCTATTGTTGATTTTGTCTATGACTTTTCATTTAAGGGGATGTATAGTAGCTGTGAAATGGAGACTAACATCCAGATGTGAGGATACAATGTGGTATGCATTTCTGCTTCCAGACAAAGATGGACTCTGAATGAAACTGTTCACTATATCCTGATAATAGGATGCTGGACTCTCTGCCATTGTCCATGCCCGCAGTGATACACCTATCACTGTGTATAAAGAACTATATTTAGTAATGATATAGAGGAACTGGGGGGGGGGATGGGGGAGGACATTGGGGAAAAAATAATAATATAAAGAAAAAGTTTTCCCTAAAATAGAAATAAATAATTGATCAAAATTTTTTGGTCTCATGTAGTATTTGAAATTTATTTTTCAAGATGTGAATATTTCTGAGTAATAGACCCCCTTCCCACCTCCCAGAAAGTAGTTTAAAATGCAGTCCTTATGTTATTCTAGTGTGAGTCATTTCTGGTTACTTCTGAATTATCCTGTACTTTTCTTTCTCAGGTATTAATTTAATATTAAAGTGTTATTCACTACTGATTTACCTAGAGGCGCTTCACTCTAGTTTTTAGGTTCTTAATATATTTGTGTCATCCTGCCAGTTACATTTTTTTAAGTGTCCGACTAGACTAGAATACACATGTAGCTTGAATACACCACCTCATCCATTTTGTTGTTGTAGTGTTTGAAAGTGAATTCCATCTGCTTCATGAAATTTTACCAGAAATACTTCAATATGTGTTTCTAACAAAAGAATGCTTTTTGTATAGCTACATTCATCACGACTAGCAAGACTAACAGTATCTTAAGAACTTCTGATAATGTGAAATTCTTCAATCTCGCCTCAGTATTTGGGGAATATGCATCTGCTTTATTCATTCATGCATTAAACGTGTTTGAGGGTCTGCCCTGCTTCTTTGCTAACAGCCTGCTGCTGATTGAGTTGCTCAGATGTATCAGAGAGCCTGGCATGTGCAGATTACTGCATGCCAGGCCTTGGCCTTGCCAAGATAACTGCAGCATGGAATCCCTGCGAGTTACTGATGGCTCATCTAAGGAAAGGCAAGACTAGCTGATCCTGGAGAGAAAGGTGGTAGAGCTCTAGATGTTGTGGTTACACACCTGTTCTAAATACAGTAGGGGCTCAGACCGAGTTTGTTCCAGGCATGGCTGGTGGGGATGGAGGCATTGAAGAGAGAAGGCTGTTAAGAGGGTGGGGGCAGGACAGCCTATGTACAGCATGATCAGAACAGGCAAGGGACTAGCACGTGTTGTGTGTTCAGTGTGGAAATAAAAATGATTAACTACAGATATTTTTATCTCACATTGTTCTAGTTAAAGGAATCAAATAGGTGCAAGTTTATAATAGCAAGTATTTTAGAGCTTGGGAGATAGTGAACTGACAATATAACCCAAGAAGTTAGCCTTGCTTTCTTTTTAATTGGGTGGGTGCAGGTGAATCTGAACCTAGTCCTGCTTCTCTACCCATAGGCAGTCTCAGAAAAGGCAGAATGCTTTATTTTAATCAGGGTTGAGGGTGTACCCAGGTGAATATGATAAAGTGTGTTTAAATAGAACTTAAAGTATAGAGATTTGTTCATACCTAGAAAAAAGTTCATAGTTACATGGAAGAAAATAATATAAACTGGACATGTTGGGGATAGTTGGAATTTGTCATCAGGGTTTTTTTTTTTTTTTCCTGTGGAGGTTACAATTGTTTTTCCCCCCACCCCGTTAGGACAAACTATGGAATTTTCCTTTTATTGCAAATGTTGTCTTTCTTTTTTCCTCTTGAGACTAGTTCTTATTTGTTGTAGCAAATTATACATACTAGCCATGGAAATTGGAGTCCAGTCTTAAAGTCTAAAATCTAAACCCTGCCATGCTCTAAGAGCCAAGCCTGTTTGTACTCCAGCGTGACAGCACCAGTGCAAAAACCTCCCACCAGCCCTTGGGTGCCAGGCCACAGTCAAAATGCAGGCACACTACAAAGATTGTATGCAGTTACCTACTTCGTGCACGTGAATAAGCTGGGTAGGAGGCGTAAGTAAATTTCATGTTTAGACTTTACATTGCACCTTCCAGAATCTGAAATATTACTGTTCCTCAGCATTTGGGACACGGGCCACCCCACCTGTATCAAACTCTCAGGGACACTTAGCTCACCCTAGCTCTATTTTCCTTGGTTAACACCCAGCGTGCAAAGGCCTCGTTTTCTACTCTCTTACCTTGAGTGTTTCCTCTACTGTGTTTTTCTTTTTCCTCATCCATCTGACTGAATATTAACAGGTGCTGGTGGTGACTCTTTGCTTCCCGTTGCCACTGCTACT